GTTTGGCATGAAAAATAAACCTTTGAACTAGAGAATTAAAAACATTTCTTAAACAATAAAGTAAACTACCAACTATAGTTACATTTCAATGTAATTTCACGAACATTTGACATAAAAAATAAATTTCTGAGCTAAAAAATAAACTTCTCCTTAAATCTTTTTATTCAATTACGAACTATAGACAACCATAAACATATTTTAACGAACATTTGATAAGAGAAATAAACCTTTGAGATAGAAAATGAATAATTTCCTTTCAATACATTAAATTGATTGCAAACTATAGTTAGATTTCAATATATTTTTACGATGCCTTGAGATAAAAACGAAACTTATGACATAGAAAATCTAAATAGCTTTTCTATTGTGATCATTAGAATTATCTAAGATAATCATATAACTTACCACAGAAAAACTCTCCTAAAAATAAAAAAATGTGTATGTAAACAATTGTTTATAACGGCAGTAAATCGTTTAATTCTATAACGGACCCTCTAAGTGAGAAGAAAATAAACTATTGATTGCCGAAGCCATGTACCAATCAAGAGAAAGTGTCAAGTTTTGCAGCCTGTCAGCAACAAAAAATTTAAGGACCAGTCAAAAGCTGACATGATTTTCCTTTTTCTTTTTCGGAGAAAAACTGCACTATGAACTGAATGAACTGCATCTAAATTTGTTTATATTGTGTAGTTTCTAGTATTTATCATTAGTTAAAACGGTTAAAACGCTTTTTGTTTCAGACGAAGACAACATCCTCAGATATGAAGTTCATAAATATTTAAATAATTTTTGCATATGAGTGTTGATGAGTAGTTTAATTCTTTTAAACGGAAGTTACTATACAGAAAAAGAGCTTAGAATTATGTAAGTTCTTTTCTTCAGATTAAAAAGATGAGATTTAGTCATGAGAGACATAGAAAATGTATCGACATTAGATCTACAGTTTAAAATATCTGGGAACATTATGAAGCCTGATATTTACTGCTGTCAGGTTCCAACTGGTAAGCATTTGAATATGACTGCACATAAAATAAGTCTTTTTTCTTTCGATCCTATAAGGGTAAGTTGACAAAATTTCTACGCTTCGTAAATGATAACTCATTATTTACAAGTATTAGAAAGGTTTCATGTAAAACAAGTTTTACTCGATTTCCTAGTAATTCGTAAGACCTACTTAAGTAGTGCAATTAAATACTCGAGAAGATTTATTAGAATAATGATTTTCTTAGCAAGGTTAATAGTAGCTGAACAATAATTAAGGCTGTCATACATGCGAAAACCCAACACTTATACTGCCGTTTGCAATAGTTTTCAGTCAAAAATTTGTCATTGGTAGTGACAATCAATGTTTCCAATGGAAATCTAGAACAAAATGTACAAAGTGTATAAAAACCAAATTTTCGAAATCTAAAAGACAAAATATTATTTATTTAATACTATATGCAGCTTTTAAGGTTCAGAGATCAAAGAAATCAAAGTGTAAACTGTTGTGGCAAAGTGTACATTGTACACTTTGGTTTTCTGAGAAACTATACAACAGCGTAAATCGAAAGTAGCAGATGTTCTGTACATTCTGCTTCTGCTTTATACATTTGCCATTGGAAACACGGGTGACAATATTTACGAACATGTCAAGCATTCGATCCGTTACCAAACGGATAAAATGCTATCGAAAATAATCTCGGTTTATCAACTTTTGCAAGTTTCTAATGAACCTACTTTTAAAAGTTTGAAAATAAATGCATCTTTTTCACTTTGTTAATAAGAGAATAGTGTGTTTGTATGATTGATACTAGGTTTCTATCGCTTGCTTATTTGATCGTTTACGCATCTGTATATTGTTCAGGTATGTTGTTGACTAGCATAGGAGACTGCGCCAGTAGAAAAGACGCCCTAATGTGCAACATATTCCATTAGGAAAAAGTTGTTAATCAATGAAAATTTATTCATAAAAATTATCAGTTTTTGTAAAAGAGTATGACATGTTTTTTTTAATGAACTGCTCGAACTCATGCATGCCTGATTTTGTATTGATTCAACAATATAATCGACAGAAGAAAGGAAATCCTTTCACAGATTGATTATCTTTTTTTCTTTAACTTCATCGTAGTATATTCTTCGCTTTAGTTTTTCTGTTTTTATCTATAATAGAGAATCAAAATAAAGTAAGCGAATAATCTCACTTCAAATCTGAGAACTCAAGCTGAACAGATCATGTGATCTGACCGATCTCAAGTAGGCTCAATTCTCATCAATTTTTTCAGTAAGAGATACTCAAGAAATAACTTAAACGAAAAGTGTAATTCAAAGACTTATATGTGATCGAACGTTCACAAGAAAATGGTGAACACATAGCCAGCCGATAGCAAGCGAAAAAAATGCGACGTATTTTTACTGCGAAATCTGTTTGTTTATCTAATATATAGGAAATCATTCGAAATAGAATATCATGTATTTCTAGAAAACATAAAGTCGATCTCTATCCATGGAAACAGCCGAAAGTCGTCTTATAAAATTTGGTGTCCTTATGACGCTTCAACCTCCGTCAATCATTTGTTACTTGGCTTCAATTCACTATATTTTATCTCATCGAGGTACAAGAAAAGCACTTCATAATCATGGTCCATTGGCTCTGCTTTTCGTTGGATTATTTACTGTTGTCTTTGATCTCTCTATGATTCTCGATTTTTTACGCACGGGTGTTGTTACTCCAAGCACTGAAGCTTATTGTAGTATGTGGATTTTTTTCGATATGCTTCTCTATGCACTAGCTTGTGCATTGATGCTGTGGATATCAATCGAGCCACACATTCTTATTTTTCATAATCAACAGTTACTCGGTACAAAACTAAAACGTCTCTTTGTGCACTACTTCCCAATTGCTTGTATTTTTGGATATTTCATTGTGTTTTACGTATACGGCGTCTTTTTTTATCCGTGTAATAATCAATACGATTATCATGTCGCAATCTGTAATGGTGCTTGTTTTGTTTTTGCCAATCCTATACTGGGTCTCTACGATCAATTTGCCAATTCACTCGTTCCATATTTACTCATCATCATTGTGAATGTTGGATTATGGCTTCGCATTGGTTGGCAAAAGCACTATCGAATGAGACGAGCAGTTGACTGGCGACAGCATCGCAAAATAATTCTTCAGTTTGCTCCTGTATTAATTGTATATATGTTTGGTTATCTAACATTTGGATCTCTTCAATGTTATAATATGATTCATGGTCCGACAGATCTTAGTACGATTATTCAACAAATCTATTTTTTTGATTTATTTTATTTGGTTGGCTTATTGCATCCATTTGTCTGTCTGGTTGGTATACCTGAAATTTATCGAAAATGGCTTCCAAAACGAAACCGACAAATTGTACCAACTACCATGAATCCAAGGAATGGAATGAGTAGACTGGTTACAACTATGCTTTAATTTTGAAAAGTTTCAATATTTAGCTGTTGTAGCTCATAGAACTAAGACACTGTTAGGGGTATCAATTTACAGTTTTTCTAATTTAAATTCGTGAAAAGTTGATTTAATTTTAAATTTAATGTTTGGATGGATACTCATCATTGCTAAGAGGGAAATACGTGACTTTAACAGTAGCAAATGCTAAACGACAGAAGAATCAAGTATTTTAGGTTAATATTTGTTCATAATAGTCAAAGTTTCTCTACAGATTATACAGGATCCGGCATCTTTCTTCTTCAAAATACCGGGATATTCATAAAAACATATTTAATAGCACAATGCGTAGAAGAATGACTAGCATTAACTTTAGAACACAAGAAACGTACTCAAATTTGACTTTAAATAATAGCAATCGAATCAAAAACTATGTTTATCTGCTAATCGTCAAAATTTAACCAGTTTGAATTTCAAACCGTTTAGTTTAAATTTAGTTAAATGTAAATGTGACACCCCTACTGCTCGTCGCCCGCGTATACTATCGACACGAGATATGAGTGACTTACACAAAATGTGTCAATATAAATTGTCTAGTCTGTTTGCGACCTAAGTTATTCGTTTTTTTTTGTTATAATCAGTTGCTGTTTCCGTTTTTGCCTATTAGATTGTTTTTTGTAATAAAACTATGGTTTATAGTGACAAGCATCGAAAAATTAATGTTCCAACTGATAATGTTCCAATCCAAGCAACGTTACGTCAACTAGAACAGCCTATCTGTAAGAAAAAATTGATATGGTTTTTACAATAATGTTATTATTTCTTGGTTTTATTTAGGTTTATTTGGAGAACGTCCAGCCGAACGACGTAGACGTCTTCAAAACCTAATATCATCTTTATCTGATAATGAAATTGCAAAGATATTACGTAAAAATGAAGAAGACAATGAAAAAGTTGAAGATACAAAATAAGTAAAAGAAAAAAATTATTTTTTTTAATTTTTTTTAACAGAGTAGCTTTGTATCATGACGAGCCTGATGAATTACAAACAGCACGATATTGGATTGCAGAATATGCCTTGTCAAGGTAAAACATCTATGTTTGCATATAAATATTATTTTAAATTATGTTCTAGAGCAAAAGAACGTATTGAAAAATTAAAAGAATATGTTGCTATACCTGAAGTATATCGAACAGCTAACATTCAAGGTTTATATCGTGAATTACGAGTAAACTTTTCTTTTTCGAATTTACATAGTTTTTTTTTTGAGAAAAACTATCGAATGTAGATTTTCAATTGAAATCTTTTAAGTAGTAATGTAAGAACAGTCATAGTTAAACGTTTCCGAAATCCAACATCGACAAGGAATTTTGCAGTAGCCGAAATAAATACAGTTTGTGCTTTTTAACGACTACAATGATATTTCGTAAGAGTTGAGGATAGAAGCTATGAGATTATTGACTTTCTGGCTTTAGACAAAAGTCAATATGCATATTTGAGAATAATTCCCGATTAAATTAATGAAAAGAAAAATGAAAGAAAATTTCGATCTTTTCTTGAACGAATAAATGTCATGAAAAAGGTTAGACAAAATTCAAATTATCCATTATGGCTAATAGTTTGAGAGCTTATAAATAACATATTAACATATTCTTACTTATGATCAAGTGAAAATCGGAGGACATTACTTAATATAGAATTCGATTTTTTTTTCTATGAAATAATCGTATTTGAAAAATAATCATTTAGTTTCTTCGTTTGGATATACAAACTCAATCTTTAAACAATTCGATTTTGTTTAATATTATTCTCGAAAAGAATAAGATCTGGGTACTAATGACTATTTCTCATAGTAGCATGTTGATGAATAAATGAAATGTGATATGCAATCATGCATAATATGTCATTATTACAATGAAATAATGTTCTTCTTAATCGTGGATTTACAGTAAATAAGATCGTAATAAGTAATACTATAGATTACATATGTGAAGTCTAAATTTTAATCTTATTTTGATAGATATTTTTGTTTAATTTCAGGAGTGGTTTATGCAAACTTTGAACAATACCAGATTGTAAACATGTCCGAACATTCCGTGGTCATATAACAAATGCTTGTTGTATTAGTTGGCATCCTCAATCAACATTAGCACAAGATCCAGCAATGATTAATTTAGCATCTAGTTCATTTGATGGAAGTGTTAAATTATGGAATCTTCAAAGTGATGAACCTATTGCTGAAATTGAAAAAAGAATCAAAGAATCTTTTATCATTTTCATTAAGGTCACGCACCATTTCGTGTATCAAAAGTAAAATTTCCTTCATCTGGAAGATTTTTAGTTACAACTTGGTAAATAATGAAAAAGCCAAAATTAATTTTCTCTTCAATTAAACAAAAATTTCTTACTTATAGTCATGATCATTCGGGGCGTCTTTAGGATCTTGAAACTCAAGAAGAAATTTTACCTCAAGAAGGTCATTCAAAAGCAGTTCATGGCATTACATTTCACTGTGATGGAAGTTTATCTGCTACGGCGTATGTTAACAAAAATAATTTGAAATTTTCATATGAAATATTAATTATTTATAGTGGAATGGATACATATGGTCGAATATGGGATCTTCGAACAGGTCGTTGTATTATGTTTTTAGAAGGTCATCTTAAACCAGCATTATCGATGGATTTTTCACCAAATGGGTTTGTTAATAATTCTTGTCATATCATTTAGATATCACATAGCAACTGGTTCGGAAGATAATTTGTGTAAAATTTGGGATCTACGTCCGATTAAAAATGTTTACAATATTGCTGCTCATGAAAATTTAGTTTCAACTGTTAAATTTCAACGTATGCTTTTAAGTTTAAAAAAATTTGATTAGATGCATTTTTGTTTTAGGTACTGAAGGACATTATTTAGTAGCTGTTCCTTATGATGATACAATTAAATTATGGACGCATCCGATATGGTCAGCGCTTTATTCTTCAAAAGGCCATGAATAGATAATAATGTCAGCTGATTTATCTCGTGATGAACGATGGATAGGAACAGTTTCTTATGATCGTATATTTAAAATTTGGTCAGCGGAAAAAATTCGTTAAAGACTTTTTTCGTTTCTCCTTTGTTCGTATTATTAATCTTTCTTTTTTTCTTGATGAATAGTACAACATTATATATTTTTGAGATGGATGTTTGAATGATTGGGTGTGGGTAGAGTAAAGGACATGTAACACACCCACACTCACACTATTTTCTGAATATATTTTGGAGACAGCCCAAGTTTTATCAAAGTATTGATAATACTTCCTCTTTCGTTTTTTTTTAAAAGAAAGACGAAATTATTTAATGTAACGGACTTATTTTACACATCTCTAAATGACCCTTAGAAAATCATTATAAATACTAAATTTTGTTTCATACTTATTTGCTCCTCTACGAAAACGTTTTTTCTCTTCGAATTAACTTCATCATTCTGTCAATGGAAAAAATATAATACTACATGATTCACCTGAATTTTCGCATAATGCATAATAAACACGAGTATGAATGAATAGTCGAACGAACAAATACATTGATATTTCTCAAAATTTATTGATGACAATAGACTTTTCACTGAAATCATACAAAGAAATTCAAAAAATTGTTTATTCCAATCCATGAATTCGAGCTTTTATTCGTTTTCAACATTATTTTATTGTAAATTTTTACACGAAAATTTTTACAAACGACGTATGATTATGTCTTAATAAATTTCGAATCGTTATCTAATAGGCGAATTCATTTTAAAACATTATCGGAAATTCGATAGAGTAGAAAATTTTACACCTCTAGCATATGTGATAATGGCTCAGTTTGGATTATTTTGAATCAAGAAATACTTATCGTTAGTGGTGCTTCTTCATTATACACGAATAAAACAAAGAATAAAATGTATCGTTATATTAATTATCTCAATGTTTGTCATGTGCCCTGGTACTTATGCACTTATACGTGTAACAAATAGGACATAATGAATGGCTACTTTTCACTAATCAGTAAATTTTATTAAAAACTTTATATTGCATGGTTGCTATTTTATCGGTCAGAGTTTTGTCTAATATTTTAGAACTATGAAATAAGCAGTGTAACCTTAAGTGTAGAACCCTTCAAACTATATGCTTCCTTTTTAATAAAATACGTAATCCAAGCATTAATATTCATCATGTCCTACTATCATTATAAGTTTGTAAATATCAAAATCTTTTTCTTGAAAATAAATGTCGTCTTTTGTTTTCCACATCTCTCGTTTATTAAGTTCAGCTTCAATAATGATAACGATTCTAAAACATATACAATAAAAATCTAATGTGCTATGTGTACTCTTTTTCTTTTCTTTTCATTTAACAATAAAGCAATGGTCTTTTTCTCAAAGTTCATGTTCTTGACAATGATATAAAATAAATTCAGGTTGTTCATGTTTAGTTTCAAAGCCACCGAAAAATTTCATAACATCAACAAATAAAAGTTTCTCTTCTACAGATACTTGATGAATCAATCGGCATGAATGATATGGTATATTATCCATATCATCAAAGTCATCATTTATAGAACATTTTCTATCACTAATAATACATGGTGAAATATAAAGAAAAAATAATGGTGGTTCATCACAGTAATCGCTATAATCACCATCGCAATCTGGAAATTTATATATGAGCTCAAATTTTTTTATATCACCTTTTTTAACATTATTGTTATTATTCATTCGTTTGAAAAAATATTTATTTAATTTATTAATAGCACGTTCTAACTTAGGACAGTGACATTTATTTCGTTGTTTTTTATAAGTAGTCACTGAACATTCATCACATAAATCATATTCATCTGCATAATTCGATATAAATTCATGATGCTGTAAATTAAATAAATCCTTTGTTACATACTGAAATAAATGTGTTGGTAATGATGCCGTAATAAATCATTTTGTTTGTTCATTTTTAATACGAGCTATATAACGAGCACATCGTTCTTTTAGTGATAATAAACCATTTGATTGTATTCCATCACGTTCAAATCGTTTTATAGCACCACATAATGAATCGCGATCACCTTCAATTCCAATAGCAAATATTTCAGTTTCTGTAAATCGTTGACGCCATCGAGACATATCGAATGAGATTAGAAATCTAAAAAAAGTAGTTAAACTATATTTTTATATTATAACAACAAGATATAAGAAAGAAATGAACGTTCGACTAACGATTAATAGAAATAGAATCGCCTTTTTGAATAAATAAACGTTAGAATCTTTTATTTATTGTGAAGAAAAGAATGTTATTGGTTTATATAACTATTCGTTATATGAACCAGCATTAGTCTGTTTATTTTAAATAAATTATCCATGAAATAGTGCTCCATCTTTTGATTACTTTTAAGTTCATAAGCAACTTTTCTATTTGAATCTCTACGAATTATAATAAAAATAGTAATTAACATAGCTGAAAAACTACTTTTGCTACATTTTAAAATCTCAAGAGACAGCAAAAGTAAAAAAGATAATAACTATGATTAGGCTTCTTTCTGAAAGTCTGCAAAATAATATTTTTGTTTTTAATGCACATCAAATAGCAACTTATTTCCAGTGATCATCTTTATACATGCTAGTGTTCTAGTATGTAACTATATATCATGTTCAATATTATCCAATAAAATAGGTTCTTAGAGAAACTATATATGCGCACGGTGATATTCCATCATTTGAACCATCAATTATACTTTCAAAGATATATTCATGCTGTTTTTGACTATTCGAATCACATAAAAAAGCCAGCCGCCCTTTTACCAGCCAACCTATAGATAAAAAGATCATCGGTTTTTTCCAATTTTAGCATGCATTTTGACCGACCGGTTCCAAGTATGTGCCTATATTTATGTGATAGTAAATGAAGACTTTTATTAACGAAAATAAAAAAAAGAATAATATTTATTTTTCTTTCTTTTTATAATCTGAGACTCATTGATCAAAGTGAAGACCTATATCACAAAATACGAGAACTACGCCGTATCAAGTGAGATCTTCGGAGTTTTGATCGTACTGTATAAATGGAAATTTGTTGTATGATGTACGATAAAACAATCATAGTTATGGTATGACTACGACGTTATTTGATTATGAGGTGTGAGTGTCGGGTAGCGATGTTGATTAATGGAAGACACCCCCACCCCTGTATATTATGACTGTTTAAAAATCTCTCTTTTTCGTTTGATTTTCTCTGTTGTTTCGTTCCGTCTCTTACATTCTTCTGCATCTAAATAATGTTGCAAGCAGGATCGGTGTAGATTTTCGTGTTAATCAATTGAAGATGGGTGTGGGTGTGGGTGTAGACTAGCTAGATACTCACACCCACACCCACACCCTCAAGAAAAATGGATAGAGAAAGAAAAATATGTGGAAAACGTCATGGAAGAAAAGTATCGAAACAGTTCAGGGAAAGTACATCGAGCAATGTATGACAGCGAAAGATCATTGGAACTTTTAAAATTATTTAAATCATGCTTTGCTGCTTTCTGACAACAAGATGCAGTTCAATTTTCTGACTGATCTATTTATAGTGTGTCTTCTATCGGATGAGCAATACTGTCTTTGAAAGAATGAATTTAGTTCAGAATAAGCTATTTCAGCTTTAGTGTAACCAATTCGATTATTTCTGGTTCGAATCCTGCCTATCAATATACTGTGCATTGATTTTTATAATTGTTTCGTGTAGATGAGGAATCCAAATTAGCATCCAACGATGTTATCTGAGTAACATTGTACGTAGAATTTTGTTGCCTTGCAAAGTCGGAGAAGGTATTTTAACGTACTTGGTCACCTGGTTGCTTTCTTTATGTGATACAGCTTACTTAAAAGTGAAGATCAGGCATTTCATTCAAGAGTTTGGCATGGATCTGGTTGTAGTTATCGATGCGAGTGGATCTGAGATGTCAGAATCAATTCACGAAAATCCCACGCCCATACCCTCGTGGCTTCATCAACTGAATTTGTCTTTCCGTGACATTAAAAACAATTGATTTCAATATGAGTATTCGTGAGTGAGGAAAAGGTTCACCCATTCACACTTTCCAATATATTATCGAAACAACGGATCTCTAGTTTGAAGAAACATTTTTTTTGTAACTGTTGATGGTATTCTATGATTAATAGATTAGCTAACTCAATCAAGTTCAGAAGAAGAAGAATAAAATATCAATCGATTGAAAATCTTTGCTCTTTGATTAAAGTCGTTTTTTTAAATTTTAGACTATAAAAGGTCGATAGATTCTATTCATATATATTATTGAAGAAGAGAATATCGATGTGTATGCATCAATGAAATTCGACAGTAACTCCAACATGCTTAGGTATGATAGTCAATGTCTGAGAAAATCCACCAGCATTAACTTCAGAGCCACCATCAACAAATGTCACTTGTTGTAGCATACGAGCTAGGATTACTTTTAGTTCAAATCGTGCCAAATCTTGACCAAGACACTGACGATGGCCACCTCCAAATGGTAGCAATGCACATGGGTGATGATTTTTATCTTCATTAAGAAATCTTTCTGGATAGAATTGTTCAGCATCGATCTTCCAAAAACGAGTGTCTCGACTGAGAGCCGACGTCGGAATAAGCACTTGATCACCTTTGTAAAGTCGAGTGCCGCTCTTGGGCAGATAGTCGTCGACAACTACTGAACGACTTGTTCCATCAATCGTTGGAGAATAACGAAGTACTTCGTTGATGAAACAATCCAAATAAATGAATGAATCGACACGATCCACTGTTAAAGATTGACTACTAGCATCCTGCATCAACTCTGTTTTGAGTTTCTGCTGAACTCGTGGATTTTTACTCAGCTGATAAATACACCAAGCAAGAGCAGTCGATGTTGTTTCATAACCAGCAATCAAAAACATGAGCATCTCATCAAACAGTTCTTTTCGTGATAGACCTACCAATAAAAACAGCTCTTACAAATAAAAAAATGAAAACTTCATAATGAATGATAGTCATAGTTTCATTTGCAGTGTCACAAACAGAAATCTCAATTTATTGTATTTCGTAACTATTCAAAAGATCTTCTCATCTAAAACTTAATATTCTGATAACTATTTCTGAGGGAGACAAAACATGTTGTTCATTTTCCAAATGGCTATCATCAGTTCTCGTGATGTTCATTGTTAGCAGCGTTGGATAGTACTTGCCTACACTACTACATCCATCATAAGTTTTTGTGACTCAATTTATCTCTGATTCTTTATTTGAACCCACGAAACAGTTCCCATTGGAATAATACGGTCTTTTCTCTGAAGTATGTCAGAGCGCAAAATAAACATTTGTTCAACAGCACCAGGCTTACCGAGCAGGGGGGGGGGGCAGGGGGGCTAGCCCCCCTGAATTTGAACCTTTTCTGCGAAATTTTTTTCATTATATTTCTGCGTTTTTCTGCGAATTTTTTTGTACTTCCACAACTTTTAAAAAGTGAACTCAAAGAATACAAATATTACAAGAACGTTTTTGAAATGGAAGTATATGAATTGGTTAACATGCAACAAAGTAAAGGGTTTAGTTAAATTATTCTTTTTTTACCATAAAACGTGAGGAGAGTATCAAAACAATGCCTACAAAACTCTTGCAGAAAATTTACTACGGTACTTCTCTTTTACAAGAACCTCATATTACTATAGTATCAAAATATTTCAATGAATTTAACAGCGTTTCAATGCTTTTTAGTTTCTTTTTTTCCCTCTTTTGTCGAAATATGAAGTTTAAAAGTAACTCAGCATATTTTATTTAAAACAATCTATATGTCAACGATTACATTTATTATCTTCATTGTTAACAATAAATGCATGATGCATGTATAGTATAACTACGAAAGAGGAAGCTTAGTATTTAATATTTCTTATTGCACGATAATTGTTGTCCTCTTTGATCTTGTGTTATTTTCATCGTAATTGGATTACAACTTAAAGAGATAAAAATCAAAGAGACCGCGTCTTTTTTTTCTGATTGTTATAGTATAAATACGATATATTAATGACGTACTGCGAAGATAAAAGATGAATTCGTTTAACTATGCATTACTCTGAATAACAGTTTTGAAAGTTAAAAAATTGTAAAATATTTTTTGTTTGGGAATTGAAATAATTTTAAAATGATTTTGTTTTTTTTTGATATTTTAAATATATTTGAAATCGTCTTCATTTTTTTGAAGAATGTTATATTTTTATTGCTCCGAAAAGCCTTTTCTGAATGAGTTAGAACGTAATCGAAAAACTGTGATTCTGCGAAATTTTTAGCCCCCCCCACCC